CATGTACGTCTACTTGAAAATTTGCTTTTTGCAAGTATGGCCACATTTGCCCCTTGCTGGCACCACTCTTGCAGTTTGGCTGAACGAATGTCCGCATTTGCAGTGAATGCATCAACCTGTTCATGAGCTTGTGATAGTCCATCACTGAGTGCACCTTTGGGTGGCCCCAGTTTCTTTTTGTGGTATGATCTTAGACCATCATTGGTGATCCATGTCTGTAGTGCTTATTCATAGGTATCCCAAACATCCTTTGAAATGGGGTACTTTTGTGTGTTGTGTTGTGTAACTGAGTCAGCACCACACCTGCTGTTCATTTCCATTTTGTAGTCCAGATCCTTTGCTAGTGGTTTAATTCCACAGAAAAGTCAGGTTGGTCAATATAGATGACTGCACATGATGGTTTTTCTTTGCTGCAGGACCATCTGGCTCCAGTCTGTGATATATGGTTGCCAACTAATGCAGTTATCGCATCTATTCCAGCAAGTAATTCAAAGCCTAGAGGTCTGTAATGCACCACAAGGACTTCAACCTTGTCTTAGTTGCCACTGTCTGTGAAGATATTAACTGTCCTAATACCACAGCACACCCACATTCTACCACTGATGGTCCACAACCAGCATTGCTCTGCACTAACGATTGACTGAGAGTAGTCAGTCAATGATAGCTGAACAACATACCCTGTTGGTTAATATGTTGACTATAGGTAGCATAACATTTATATCTGGGTGGGGAATGAGACTGGCGCTGATGTCTGTTCTTCTGATCCGTTTCCCGAACATTTCCCAGTTTGTCACAACAATAACACCTAATGGCTTTGTCTCTTTACCAGCAACCACTTTGCCCAGTCCATCAACTCAAACAATATCTAGCCAAGTGATTAGCACCACCACCACATCTGTGGCAGACGATATCGCTCTGTATATCATTGGCAAAAGACAAGTCTATACTTAGTTGCTCAGGCTTTGCAGCTGCCACAATCAGTTCTGTTGCCAGTGTGTCACTCTTCAGTATGGATCTAGCCATGTCTAATAGCTAGTTGACATCCAGTGCATCCATTTAAAAGGAAGCACAAAGCAGCTTCCTGATGTATCAGGCAACCCTGCTACAAATGTACATGCAAGTCCATGGTCAAACATCCCTCTGTACAAGGTTGAGAGCCTGCGGAGGTCTGCCAAGTAAACATCTACAGATTTGTTTGAATTCAGGCACCTATCTACGAACAGGTTGTATGCTACAAAGGGATCTGTGGCAAAGGCAACATACAGGGTATCCCTGATAAGGCCTTGTCTTTCTTCCTTGATGAGTTGTTTGAACACAGATAATGTGCCTCCTGTCAATCAAAGTAGCAGAACACTAGCAATGTTCTTCACACTGCACAGATCACAGAATAGTTTAGCCTTTTCAGACCATTCAATGATAGTGAGACTCTGGTCTGAACCATCAAATTCAGGATTAGCTTTAGGTCGAACTTGCTGTCAGCCATGAGTGCTGAAATAGCTTGTTGTAATGTAAGCAAAGAGTGTGTTGAGATTGGCAGGAAACATCTAACCAATTGCTCTCCCAGAAACTATTACAGGGAGAGAGGGGAAAGAGATGGGAGGTAACAAAAGTAACACTGCCGTGGAAACCACAACAACTTAAGGAACAAAATGTGCACGGGACTGACTTCACAAAACACTGTGTCTTCCCAACTGCCGACTTGTTTTCCCCCAGCTTTTATTGCTGAGGCCTCTTTTACATCTGTACTGATGTGTATTTGGCACAGTTAAATATGCATAGTTTATTGTAATATACTTATATAAACAAGATTGGATCAGTGAGTCTATAGCCTGAATTATCTGAGACTTTTCAATATATACTGTTTGATGTATGTAATTAAGGGAGAAGCATTAGGTTAAATGCATCGATAAAAAAAAAAAGAAAATTGTTGGAAAATAAACATTTGTTGTGTAAAATAAACATTTTTTCAATCATTATAGATAATCATAAGATTGATAAACAGATATGGAGTTAGAGAGTGATTATCTTAACAGTATCTTATTTTACCTTTTGTTTTAATTTCCAAATTAATGACTGAATGTATGGTAATCAGCAAAACAGAAAATTTAAGATGTGAGTTACGTATTGGGGATGTTAAGAATTAAGCAAGCACAAAAATTTAACCATCTGGCTAGTGAAGTAATAGATGATAGAAAATATGACAGAGAAATCAGAAAATGCATAGGAATAGCAAAAGATGCCTTCCATAAACTAAACAAAATACTAAGAGATTGGAGAATTTTTTTAGGAGATCAGCATTTTCCTTGTTTCTATGTAATATCTAATATGACAGAGAATGCTGGACAATCTCTTCATCGAGAAGAAGAAAATTAAAGCAATAGACATATGGTTCTAGTGTGAACACAATCGACTGAACATATGAACAATGAAGAAATTTTAAAGAAAACAAGAACTGAAAGGACACTTGTAATCAGAAAGAACTCAGACACGTATGTTTAATAAAGAGGAATTCTATCTTCATTGCAGTCTATTGTGTCGTGAAATTTGAAGAAGTTAATGTATAAAAACAGAAATGTGCATTTTGCAATTGTCAATATAGAAAAGTAGATGTGAATTTCATTTAATCTTTTATTATTTGTATGTATTGAATATTCACACCAATAGTAACTGATGACAGAAACACTTAGCATGGTCTTATACTCCACAGGGGAACCCACAAGACTGACATAGATACATTAACTGATGGCTTACATTGGCAATCAAGTGATAGTAAGTCACAATACTCCAGGATTCTCCTCAGTATTCGAGTTATTCTTTTTATTAATGCTGTCATTTGAACAGTCTTGACTCTTTCTTTCTTTGATCTCCAATCATATTACTAAATGCTTTGGAACTGTCTCAGGTACTCCATCTATCACTTTCATGTTATACAATTTTTCAGGTTTCTTGCAAGGTCTGTTTTTTTCCCACTTTCAGTTTTAATCTGTGGTTAGCCACAAAAAAAATCACTTATTATCATGATTAATTTTAATGATAATATTCATTCAAATGGATCACAAAGTGCAGGTCAGAAGACTGGATATGGTATTTGTAAAGAAGAAGAAACATGCCAAATGATTGATTTTGCTGTTTTGGCAGACTACAGATTAGATCTGAAAGAAAGTGAAAAGATAGATAAGTCTCTCAACCAAACTGGTGCTTGAGTAGGATATTTTGATGATTTTAGCTATGTCCTATATTATATAATGATTATTCTTAAAGAAAGTCTTCCTTAGACTATTGGTGGTTGATAGTGGTCAATCTGATCATAGAGCATAATTTAGAAATCTCCAACATGGAACTTCATAAATTGTACAAATCTTTTTAAAAAAAAGGATATGTAAAAACATGTTGCCTATTTTCTTTTATCTTTAGTCTTAGAATCAATCACTCAAAATAAGCCAGCTATTTTATTTTTAAAATCCATGCTGATATGACAGCTGTCAGATTACAATCAAATATTCCTGATGTCATCTAATGTCAAAAAACTTATTTGGGTGTCAAGTACATATTAACAAAGTGTGATTTATTAGTAGAAATATAGCACAAAATTTATTTAGATTTACATTTGTAATCAAAGTTGGGAATTATAAAATTAAATATTACTACATTAATTACATTATTCGGACTATTGCCCTCATCTTTGTCGCCATATTTATTACAACATTTCGGCCGTTGTACGCTCCAGCCTTCTTCAGGTGGTTGCAATGTCGAACTCAACCCTTTATTTCGCTCACTGGGGTAGACTGTTCTAGTTCCATGTGCCATGTTTAATGGATGTCAATTATCAGTTTATTAGCCTTTATCCACTGTGCCATGTGTCCTCAAGGACACATGGCACAGTGGATAAAGTCGTTGGTTAGATCCAGTGACAGAACCCGAAGAGTGTGAGTTCAATACCCAGCTAAGGCAGTGGAGATCTTTCAGAGGGAAAATTAACAGGAGATAACTGATAACTGACATCCATTAAACATGGCACGTGGAACTAGAACAGTCTACCCCAGTGAGTGAAATAAATAGTTCAGTTTGACATTCCAACCACCTGAAGAAGGCCGGAGCATACAACGGCCGAAACTTTGTAATAAATATGGCGACAAAGATGAGGACAATAGTTCGAATAATGTAAATAACGTACATAATACCTCATCTCAGAAATATAGATAAATATTACTATTTATTTATCTTGAGAAAATGATTTAAAGACTAGCCCTGTAGTTAAATTAATAAGTAGGGAACATTTATAAATTCAGTTTTATGGGATACTATCAGAACATATGTAAATTGTTGGTATACTAATGGGTCATTGGTTCCTCAGATGAACAGTAGCAACAGCAATGTGTATGTCTAAATCAGAACTATAGTGATATCTTAGTGTAATTGTTTACCTGTTCTTTAATTAAGTAAATGTTTCATTGAATTATATTTTTTTATGTGCTTTTTTTTAATTATATATTTGACTTGGCTAACAGAAATTATCTAATGTGTCACAAAAAATATTTTTAAAAAGTTTGACACCAATGCAAAATATTTGGAAATCTCAAGCTAAAACAGCCTGATGAAGCCCATTCCTTTTTATGAAGGTTTTACAATTCAGAATTGCTGTCCTTCTATATTGGTTGTCTTATCAAGGGTACAGCATATCCTAGAGTTTCATTCATAGCTAGGAGGAGAAAAGATAGTCATGTCTTTCCCAAAGGCATGTACAATGTGAAATAAAACAGCCTTAGCCAGAATTTGAATCTGGCTCTCCAATTCCATTTTTCATGTTGATAACCATTACACCACTTGCACCTCTTAAACATTTATGTTAACTTTAAGAATTATTTCCTCCCCTTCATTTGCTGATACCACACATTTGTAGTCAGTTGTAATGCTTGTATTTTCATTGGTTATTTTAAAACACTATGTAGCTCCCTGTATCTTGTTGCATTCTAACCTAATTTTCTTTTTCTTTTCTGAAGAACCGAACTGTTGTTCGCTGGTTTATATTTGGGGTGAGGAACAGAGTGATGCCTTTCTTGGAGACTTATGACAATTCTGATAACTGGAAGAAAAAGAGGCCTTTGAATTCCTATGACCTGTCAGAGTGTAAGCAAATTACTTATAACATGGGAAAACACATCAACAACTTTTCTTTTTGTCTGCTGCTGCCTGATAAAGTTTTAGAACTAAAGGCTGACAACAGGTAAGTTGTCTGTTAATAACTTACGCAAACATATACCATTTGTATTCATCTTCTTTTCTACTTAATTATCAACATGGTCAGCTTTGTCCCTTAATATATTTTTTACTTCTGAGATAGTCGCAATATTTGTGTGTGCATGTCCAATGTGCATTTTTCAGCTTTTAAATTTTATCAAACGGTTAATTTGTGTGAAAACATAACTGTAGAAGTTACTGTCTATTTTAAGTTAATGACAATAAATTATGCTGAGAAAAAATTCCCAAATTGAATCTTTTTTTAATTGTTCATTTTTAGACAACAAATGATGGAATGGGTGATGGCATTGGAGAGGACTCTTACTTCTTTGGGATTAATTCAGGTAAGAAGAAAATTTTATTGTGAAATTTCATTTCTCTCATTAAGTAAAGATTCCCATAACAATAATAACACTGGTCTACAATTTTTTACAAGTTGACTACTTCAGAATTGAAATGTGCCAATTCTTATGTACTAAAATTTTTTTTGCAACATGCTAACATGTGTTGAAATCGTCACAGTATTTAGTATTGTTGATTAAATTGTTTTTAAAATAGTGGGAGTATTTTGCATGTTAAATAATAAAACTTTAAATTTTTCCAAAAAAATGAATGAAAATTTATTGTACTAAGCTATACACCTTTGTAAAATCAACTGTACTTTGTACTTCTTTACCTATTTGCACTTCTCCCAAAAATATGGTTTTCTTTGGTCAATTTATGGCTATTTTAGAGAGTGTAACAAATAGATGGACTAATAAGTCACAGAATTTTATATATAGATAGATGCTGAATTTGAAAATGACCTTCAAATTAGATGATTGTCTCTAGATTTAGAGATATCTAGTCAGTTGTGTCATATACATGAGTACAATGGATGTCTCCAAAAAAACCAATGTTGCTTTGTGTAATCTGCTTTGATGTTCTATGTAGGCTACCAGAGCAATGTACAAACACACCAAGATGGCAATATATATGTTTATTGAATAAAATACAACCAAAAAACTATTCAGAAGTATATACATGCGCAGTTATTCAGCAACCATACGTTGCTTCTTGGTTTGACTTTTGTAAAATGCAGAAGGATCATCTCTGATCACTGTCCAACAATAATCAGCCAGTGTTGATGGACTCCGTCTGCCCTGATACCTTTTCTCCATTGTTGCAATATTTTGATGGAATTGTTCACTATGCTCGTCACTCACAGCACCACAGTTTTTGGGGAAAACATCAAAGTGTGAGTCTGACAAGTGAATCTTCAATGACATGTTACAGCTAAGTTGTTTGCATGCCTTCAGGAGGTCTTACACCAGTTTTCTATAATTTTCTGTTCTTTCCTTACTCGGAAAGTTGGTTGCCACTGACTTGAAAGCTTTCTATACAGTTTTTTTGTTTTTCCTTTCCCCTAATACTCTGTCAAAAGAAGTTTACATATCTGGGGACCAACTAAGATACCTTCCTTTAGCTTTGTTTTATGCCTCCTGGGAAATTTATTTTACACATACATGAATGCTGCCTTTGTTTTGTTCATAGCCTTCCTGAAAATTTTTCATAAGACCAAGTCTAATGTGAAGAGGTGGCAACAAAATTTTCTTTGACTCAACTAGTGGTAAATACTGTACATTTTTTCTTTCCAGGTTCAAGTAATTGTCATAGTAGCCAGTTTCTCTTGATGTGATGAGAACTTCTGTCTTGGTTGTCCCATTCACAGTACTTAGTATATTCACCTTGCAGTCCTAGCAAGAGAGCAACAACTTTTAAATCTCCACAAAATTGATAGTTATGTTGATCAAAGCTGATACATCTCAGTAGTTATTTCATATTGTCATAAGTTTCTTTCATGTGGATTGCATGATCAATTGGGATTTAAGGTAAAACATTATCATTGTACAACAAGACAGCTTTGAGAATTATCTTTGAGGAATCAATGAACTTGCTTCCATTCTTCTGGATTTTAACTGATGTTACGTGATTGCATAAAACCACTGATATCATTGCAGTACACCAAATAACCTTCCATAAGGAAAAATGGGACTTGATCGTTGTGATGATCACAGAAATGGGAAATCTGCTAATAGATTCCGCTGCTGTAACATAGAACTTAACAGTTCTACTTTACACTTAGGAATTTCCTTCAGGTCACTTTGAGTTATAAGGTGTAGTTCAGAGACAGATGTTGGACAATAATCTTGGTCATATGAAGTTTGATGGCTCAGGCTTTGAGGTTTCATTGTTTCCCCATTATCTGACTCAATTTCGTACAATCCCGGTGTTTTTGGGTTTGGTATTCTTCATTATGGGGGACAGGATGCAAAGCTTATGGAATGTGTGAATATTATACTGTCCATTTCTTTTTCTTTGAGAATCCCTTAGCAATTGGAGACACTATGCAAAAGTAGCAATCAGTGGCATGATTGGTTGGCTATCTTGAAATCATGCACACTGAAAAAGACATAGATTTTTTTTCTTCCTGGTTAGCTATTGACTGAAGTTTGTTGCATAGATGTTACAGCATATGTGTGGTGTCCACTTCTTGCCTCGGTCTCTAATTTTGCATCCAAAATGTAGTTGGTAAGCTCTTCTCACAGCTGGTGTTATATTTCACTTTTGAGCTGCAAAAGTCACTTCACGGCACACATAGTTATTGACTTTGTTCAGACATTCATGGGGCATTTTTCACAGTCCAATGTGTGGAAAGGAGAATAATTATTAGTTTATTAGGAGAATAATTATATATAATAAGGTTATTAAGAGAATAATAATTAATCTGGCAAGGACCACTAATTTAATGAAATATTCATATAACACTATTACTGTATCTTTAAATATAGAACTAATCAACAATTTTGGATATCCTTTTTATTTCCAGTGCTCCAAAATTAACTAAGATTGGTTATTTTTGTTTTTGAAGCTTTCATGTTGTAGACCAGTGTAATCTATACGTTTTTTCATTGCTGAGTTTTTTTTTGTATGTCCAGGGTACTTAGGTGTAAAAAAAAAATTAATTTCCATTGAAAATTGTTACTTTTATGGAAGTTTTCAGGAATTTTTTAATGCTGACAGGAAATCTTGAAGGAATGTCAGAAGCAAGCAGTGGAAAGTTTTATTCTTCAAGAATGCTGTAATATGTCAGGAATGCACTAAGAGAATGGTACAACATATACAGAATAGTGAAATATATTCAGCACTGAATCTCAGTAATTTATGGTTTACTATTGTGTTGATCAAATGAACTGCAGGCCACAGGATATATTATGATTACATAGCTTTAGACAGTTGAAGTATAAAAAAGTAACTAACTACAGTGTCAATTGAAGCAGCAAATAAGTTGGTCTGTCATTTCAAGAAATGGGGGTGTTAAATCCTTAATCTTCCTTGCTCTTTTGAAGTGATCAAATAAAAAAATGTTCTTTGTTTAATTGAAGAAGAAATTAATTCATAGTGTAACATTTCATACTTTCTCTTCAACCAACATTTCAAATAAAGTGACAACTCAATTGCATCACTTCTCCCAGTAGATGATGATGAAGCATTTTATTGACACTGGTGTTGTATTAAACTGATATTACAATCGGTACCATGACTGACCATTTTGTAAACCAATAATATTACAATTGTGTAGGTAAATGAAAATAATTCTAAAAAGCATGGAAATCAGTACTTCTGTAAGTGTCTAAAAATCCTTTTTCTTTTCTTTGTTTTCAAGGCATCTTTTGCTATCCCAATGCATCTTCAGATTTCATTAAAACAAATTATAAGAAGTGTGTTATAAATGTGTGTAACAAGTCTATGTGATACCCACATATGTGGATATGAGTGTGTGAGAGAGTACAAAAGTCAAAGGAGGACTAAAGAAGTAAACATGTTTTGTTGGCAGTTTTCCTATTTGCATATGACTACATCTGAAAGCCAGAGCTAAAAAGATCAAAAAGAGGATGAGTGAGAATATCAGTGCCTGATTATCATGCTTAAAGAGTGTCCACTAGCATGCGTTTTGGTACAGTCAAGTGGGGTAACTCACACATGTAACATTTGCCAGAGAAAAACCTAGAGTATTTGCTACTTCAGAGATACTGACCCATTTGTCAGTGGTGTTAAATTCTGTCCATGTCCTATAACTGCCATAACTACACTACTTCCTTACCTATTACATAAGTTAGCAAGTTATGTTCATTTCTACAAATGTGGAGAGTGAAGCCATCCCATGTACTCCTGTCTATTTTTTTGGCATTTCCATTTAATGTTTCTCTCTACACTTCACATTGAGTAAAACCAACTAATGAATTAATTGGTTGCTCTCATAAATGACTTATTGCCACATGTATATTTTATGTATGAAAATGGGAATCTTGTAAAATAATTATTTTTATATATGTATGTAAAATCATGAGTTAATGAATATGTGTGTCTCTGTCTTTTCCAGAGTAAAATAGATGAACACATTTATGTAATGGATCCATTGCCATCTCCCAAATCTAAAGAAGAGACTACGCCTAAAACAACATCATCTCCATACATATCAGAAGGATCTTCCACCTTTTCATTCCCAGGGACTTATTCAGGGACATCACAGCCCCCTTCACCACCTCCTCAATTACCACCTCCACCTCCACAGGTTCTTCCACCACCACCACAGTTACCACCACCACTACCTCCTCAATTGCCTCCACCACTACGCTCCACAGAACAACCTAATGAAGAGGATCCAGCAACAGCTTCAACTAGCAACTGTGCATCTACGACTTCACCTCCGTGTCAAGATTCAACTAACAGATCGTTACCGCCTCTTCCCCTTCGTAAAAAACAACCTTCTGCTCATACAAGTGGATATTCCAGCCATAATTTAAATCTGGATTTATCAAGCCATCAACCAACTGACATTCCTGAGGAGCTAAAGTCCCCAATATACACTCAACCCAGTAAATTTGATGTATATCACAACCCTTCACAGATAACCCAGTCTTACACTCCAAACAAAGAAAGTCCTGAGACCAAATATTCTAATGATACCTCAGCCAATTATTGGTCATCATTGCATGAATTGAGTTTGAAAAGGTCTCAAAGACTAGTTGACAGTGTATCCCCTGATGGTGATGATACATATGGCTACACATGTGATGGCCTTACTTTGATTCCAGGTTCAGAAAATGACCCTAACTTGCTTTCATCCATTTCTTCTCCTTCTCCTTCTTCATCAACAAAGGGGAGCTCCAGAGTTTGCGACTTGCAAAAGTATGTCATTCAGAGAACTCATGAAACTTCAGATGTTAACATGTCAATCCTCTCCCAGCAGAAAGGAGACTTGTGCAAAAATGAACTCTCTGATGAAAACATTCAAGCAGTATCCTCTGTGGTGACTTCTTCCTCTTCCTCATCCATTTCAGATTCCAGTGAATTCATTCCTTCATACCCTCCCCCTTTCAAGGATGATTTTATTCCATCAGGCCCTCCAGATGAACTAGATTCCCTGCCTCTATTACCTGCATGTTTGAAAAGAGTTTCATCAAACGAAAAGCTGGAAATAGATTCTTTGCCTGAATTACCGGGATTTATCAATCAGCCGGAATTACCAATAGAACCAGTACCACCATTGTCTTCACCGAGCAGTCTGTATGCAACACCACATCTTTCTAGATCATCAGGAATAAGATTGTCAGTGTCAAGTAGTGATATAGCAAGACCCCTCGTTGAAGAAGATTACAAAGCTCCATACTTAATTCTTTCCAAATCAATGACAATAAATAATGCACTATCAAAACAACCCCAGAATAAGGATGAATCCAACTTGCAGGAAGCAAGTGAAGTGAATTCAAATCACTTTGTTGATGAAAACAGTAGGACAAAGGAAGAAGAGAAGAAACCAACAAGTAGTAACCATAGTAACCAGCAGCAATCCCACCAGCGACAAACACAACAGCAGAAGCAACAACATGAGGATGAGATAGACGAAACTCCACCATTGCCTCCACCTCGAATACCAATGCGCACGGACCGTCCCCCAATAGTTCCCCCACGACCTCACAGTTTTTCAGCATACCGCAGAAATGAGCATCCAAAACCTGATTTCGATTCCATTTTTAGGCAATCTTCAGATCAAGCTGTCACAAATGGCAGCTGTGAACTCCGAAGAAGCCAAGTGGAGCAGTTAATGGAAGAAATGCAAAAGACTAAAGGATTGAACATTTGCCTTTCACGCAATGAGATGTACAACATTGCTTTTGTGGAACATGGCAAAAAGATATGGTAAGTGCCAAGATTAATACTTACTTCATTCTTCATTTTCATTTTCTAGTTCAGTCTTCTTAATTTTGATTGGGATTGCTTCCAGGACTTTAGCTTTACTTCATTTTTAATTTTTTGATTTAATGTTTAAAATTTTGTTTTGCTTTTTTTTTTTTTTTAATCTACTTTTTCATTTACTTTTGAAAATCCTAGATGTGACTTGATGCTATCCCTGCAATAGTCCTTAAAAAATGTGTTCTTGAACTGGCTCCTGTTCTCTCTAAACTCTAAAATAAATGCCTTGCTGCTTCTTGCTTTCCTGCTTGTTGAAAATCTTCTGTATTTCCAGTCTTTAAGAACCTTAAGAATGCATCTGATCCTTACTACTTGTTGGTTTCTTCTCTTCTTCCTTTGTCCTACTGTTTTCATCAACAAAGTGATTTGAATTCACTTCACTTGCTTCCTGCAAGTTGGATTCATCCTTATTCTGGGGTTGTTTTGATAGTGCATTATTTATTGTTATTGTCTTCCACTTTTTAGCAAAATACTAGAGGCTCTAATCAACCTTGAATGTGTTAGGTATCTCACCTCGCAGGATCTTCTTTCAGATAAACAATATAGATTTTGCTTCTTTAGGTCAACTGCTGATGTATTAATGATTATTGCTGAAAGAGTCTCTCAAGCTTTAGATAAGAATGGTGAAGCTCGGGCTGTTGCTTTGGATATCCCAAAGCCATCTTCTTCACAAGTTGAAAAATTATGGTATTTTTGGATGAATTTTTGAACATGTAAGCCAAAAAGGAATGTACCTTTTGCAGCTTTAGAACCAATTAATAAAGAATTAGACAGAATAGAAAAATTAGGTGTGATCTCAAAAATAGACTATTCCAAATAGGCATCACCAACAGTTTACGTTAAAAAAAAAATACTTTTATTCCACAAGAATTTGGAAATAATTAATAAGTCATATTTGATAGTTTAGCAAAAATGTCATGTCAAAATCACTAAAAGTTAATTCTTTGGATAAATCTAAACTAATTTGTTTCTGAGGAAAATGTTTCATTAAATGATATTTTGTGTCAACTTTGTTTTCTCAAACTTTAAGTAGTTATTATTATATTATTGTAAACTGAAGCATTCTTTTAAAAGACATTATTTTAAAAATGCATAATGAAAGCAGAATATTAATATGTGTGTAATTGTTTAAATTCAAAAAAAGATATTTGTAAAATATGCCAGAAAATAACTTTATACGGTAAAACACAATTTTTGCCTTATAGTATAGAGTTATTTTCTGGTATATCTTAAAAATATCTTTTTTTGAATTTTTTTGCATGCAGAAAATTTATCAGCCAAACTAAGACAAGATTAAAAAAAAAATTATGTTTGGTTATTTGGTCAGATTTTGGGCCAAGAACAATTCTGAACTCCTTTTTAAAAAAGACAAGGATATAAACTGGAAATTTTATCCATTGCATGGAAAATATGTAGGTGTACATTTATTGAAATTACACTTTTACAGTTTGTATAATAATCAAATGAAAAGTGTGTAATGCAGTTTGAAAATATAAAGGAAAATTATTTGATAATAAAAAAATTGAGTAATGCAGTTTGAAAATGTAAAAGAAATAAGCAAAAGTATAATATTCAGTTGGTCCCCAAAAGTTTGTTATTAGATGGCATTAAAAATGTTTTGCTTTAATTAACTTTCATTAAAAAAATTGCTTTTGATTCTATTCTGTCATCTGTCATACTAGCTTGCTTATTTTTAATTGGTATATTTTTGTTTATTGAAGATGGAAAGAAAAGCAATATTTATGGCCTATTTGCCTGCCCTTTTTATTTTAAGAAAAAAGGTAAAAATGTGATTTAGATGCTGAAAAAAATTGTATAGTTATTGTTGGGGTGCACCCACCTTCTGACTGAGAATGGACTGATCTCTCTACGATATAGGTCAGTGCTAGAGAGATCAGGGGAGATGATAGAGATCACGAGACCATTGCACTTCCGCCTCTCGACCGGAAGATACCGTTGGACTGTAGACTCTTGCTGATTGTTATTACTAACCTGCATTCATTATTACTAATCACTCTGTTGTTAAATACCTCTTCAAATATACCAGTATTTTTCCCTACATCTGTGTTTGTCTTTATTTGAATACACACATGCGGAAACACTCCCAACATCTGTTATGAAAATGGTACTGTAAATATATTAAAAATGGAGATTGCTTCTAAATTAATTTCTTCTAGACCAGTTTCAGGCTGATTGTAATCAAATCAAGATTTTAAGAATAATCAATATTATAATAATATAATGAAATGGGTTGCTAACATGTTGAAAATATCAAAATCAAGCATTGAAAATCCTTTACATCAGCTTGATTATGTTAGCTGCTTTGATGGGTGATTTTCACATAAGGAGAAGAAAAAAACTGCTGGATCAGATTTATCATTTAAATGTTCTATTTTTAAAGCAAATTGTGAAAAGCAAAAATAGATACTCGATAATAACATAGAATGAAAGACTGAGAGAGAAGTGGAATGAATCCTGACTATCAAAGGTCAGCCTTCATCCCAAAATGCTGATTTTGTATATACAGTGGGATTTGAAGAGACTTCTTTACCTGAGATTGATTTCAACAAGTACTGCTCCCAGTTAGGCTAACTAAATATACTTATCAATTGAAAGTGTCCAGAAATATATATATATAAACTTTTCAGCGGTCTTGCCAATTTCAAATTTCATATGCAGGGAAGCAAGCTTCACCAAACACAATCTCCAGGCAGCCAGGAAAGATATTAAATAAAGATTTTTTTTTGTTTAATATCTTTCCTTACTGCCTGAAGATTGTGTTTGGTGAAGCTTGCTTAAGCTGGAAAAATTATATTAATAACTCCAGACATGAAATAAAAATTATAAAGAAAGAAATATTAACAGCTTTTTTTTAAAAGTCACTCATTTTCTTTCTTCTTTAATCATGAGAAATTCCAGCTTAGGAAAAAAATTTTTTGAGTCATTATTTAAGCATACACACAAGTATGCATACATAGATTTCTTTCTTTTGTTTTTGGATCTGATGAAGCCTAGAATGGTGAAACGTGGAATCAAATCTATTTTCAATCAGAACCATTTCCAATGAAATGTTTTCCATTTGTTAAATTTCTTAAAAACTCTGTTGGGATTCTATATCCTATTTTAAAAACTTATACTTTTATATATATATATATATAGTGCTCAATATTAAAAATATTAAAATAATAAAAATAAAAATATAGTGTTAATAATATTATATGAAAATATTAACTTTTAAATATCAATTGATATTTAAAAGTTAATATTTTCATATAATATTATGTGTGTGTGGTCTATTTTAAATACCTTTTAAAAAAAATCTTTTTGATAAACATAAAAATCAGATTTTTTTTATTTGTTCATTAATATAAAATGTAACAAATGATACCTAATCATTCAGTTAAGTTGGATATAAATTATTGTCTTGTCTTTATTACTGAATTTGTTAAGTGAGAATATGGGGATTTTGCAATTGTTAACAGATTTATTGTTCTTGTTTGATGTTTACAATTAAACTTACTTTTTTCCATTACAATGGATTTTTGTCCATGTTAATAAAATTTGTAGGTTAATGTAACAGTTCATAACTTACCATCATCTTCAAAACAGTTTGAATCTAATATCAATTATATTGATTTGACTTTAGCTCACAGCCTTATATATGGAATGCTTGGTGAAGAACAAACACCCACTGTAATTAACTTATGAGACAATATTTTTAATCAATGCATTATGCAGACAAATCTAACTTCACTTCAGAATATTCTATATCCTAATTTTTACACATTTTAACATAAATGTCATTCATTTTGCATTCATAGTGTACATTTTGATCAACATTTTTAAAATAATTTTGTTTTCTTTTTCTCTACTCTGATTATGTAATTTTAATTGACAGGATTGCTGGTTGGAACCAGAAAGAATGCCCTAACCTTTACCATAACCTGCACATTGGTGATGAACTTGTATCTCTCAACAAAGTCACAGTGGACTCTGTATCCTGGCTGAAGTCTCTCATAAAAAAGTCTAATCAATTTGAACTGCAACTGAAACGAGTTCCTAAAGCACAAGTTTACATGATAAAGAGATCAGTTGAGGGTGAATCACTTGGAATACAAAAAGATCCAAAAACTGGCGAAGTAAGTGAAAACAAAAGCATGGTACAGCTGATTGAAAAAGAATAAAAAACAAAAAAAAACTTTTCTCTTTGTCTTTATTGGGGTTTGAACCTGACTTGATTAGCTCTGATAATGGGAAAGTTCAATATCTGGTTTATTTTGAAGTCACTCTGTAATATTCAAACCTGTTTAGAATTAAAATTAGCAACAAATAAAATTACATGTTCACTTATCTGTCGCTGCTCTGAGTTTCATGGTAATAGTAATCTGCTCATCTTGATAGTCAAGTTGAATTTCTTTACAGAAATTATATTTTTCTTGAAAGACATTAGTTAATTTTTGACATCGACTTATTTTAAATTTGTTCTTAAAGATGTTATTGTATGACGTAATTTAATTTGAAATTGTTTGCTTATGTATGTTTTATATATATATATATATATATATATATTTTTAAGTTTTTCTGTTATCGATAGGAATGTAAGTTAAAAAAAAAAGAAGCAAATTGTTGGTATATTGAAGTGTTGTAACTATTTATAGTTAATTTGATATTAGATATATTTAACTCCTCAAAATATCTGTTAAGGATTTGAACATTTATTTGTTTCTATTAATGTTCTATCTTTTGATATTGAGCACTTTAATTACAAAGACTGCTTGCCTTAAAAGTGTTATCTTTCAGGAATAGTCTAGTTAATTTTTATTTTTTATTTTTTAAACACAAACACATTCTTTGGTGTTGTTATAAAACTAAAATTATAAACATAGGATGTTATTTAACAGTGCTACCAACAGGAAACAAGTTACAATTTCTTTTGGAATCATCATTAATTCTATTTTTAAAAAAAAAATTTAATTTAAGTTTGCATTTATTATAACAGCTAATTGAAAACAGAATTTCAAAAACAAAGGGATTTTACTGTTATAACCTTCTTATTAGACAAAACAAACTGTTATTAGGGTAAGATACAACAGGAGCTAAAAGAATACATCATTATGATGGTTTTTCAATAAAAGTTAAAACCAGGAGGGCCTCAGCATAGGACGAAAAACAGTCTTTGGCTTTTTGCTTTACGGGGTCACATACTTACCTTGTAGTAGAGGTCTTCTCCTTTAGATGATGGGTGTCTATTCAAGTCTAAAGAGTCCTATCTATTCTAATTTGTAATTAGTTTTCCTTTTCTTAAGGTTAACTGCTGGTCAAAGCTAATAAATCCAGCCCACAGAGTAGATGCAAGCAGGGTTTTGAATTGTGTTTTCCTTCTTCTAGACTTGTTGCAACCTGAGACAAAAGAGGCCAGTCTGCTTTGCTGTTTAACCTATAACTAAAAGAAAATAAGTTCATATATTTGCAAGGTCATTAATGGGAAGTGAATCAAACAGACTCAGTTAGAATTTGAACTTGGTGTGCTGATTTCACTTTTTGTGCTGATAACTGTAAACTACCTGCACGTCTAACAAACTTAAGTGGTATTGATATAATTAGATAAATTATTAATAATTTTTCACTAAAACTTCATCTTATTTCTGTAACCTTTCATTGCAACTCCCAGATCATCATTTTCTTACAGCTACTACAACTAGTATAATGTGTAGACATATAAAATGACAAGTAATGTATTTATGTATGATTTAACTTTCCATGTCAAATACAAGCTGACACAACTATTCTTTTTAGAGAAAAATCCACCTGGACATCCTTATTCAAACTGCCCCATTTTAAATATTCATAAAGTTCATATTCTAAAATTCTTGCAGCTTAAATTAAGGGATGGGAATCAATTTTTTTAATATTTAATAAAAGGTGTAGTTGGAATAAGGATGTCCTAGGTGAATTCTGACCCATTTATTTGAAATTCAAAGGTAATCATTAAGGCAATATCTTAGAAAAGGAAGGTTCCAAGAATAAGGAATGCACATACATATATCACTGGAGGTTTATTCTTTATTTTAGAAGCATACTTAAAGATTGTAGAATTATAGTTTGGAAGTTGTGATGAAAAGCAATAGAAATAGGAGGATAGAAATAAGAGTCAAATATTAATAACTGACAAATGTTTTATCTAAGAAATTTGAATACAGTAATCGATTATGATTTGTAAATTTTTCTTTTAATATTTTAAAAGAGCTATTTTATTTGTGTTTTTGTCTTTATTTGTTTAAGGTATTGTATGTTGATCCACATGGTTTGGCAGGAAGACAAGGTATGCAGTCAAATCCAGGGAATAAGTCCAAAGATAAGTACACTCATTGGACATTCACTGAGATCAACAGTCGTCCAGTGAGCTTATTTGCTGAAAACTCTCAGGTAAGAAAAGAAGTCTCCTAGCCTAATGTAAGTTTCTAACATTTGTTTTGAAAAAAAATCTTTTATTCATATAATTGCATTCTACTATCATTTACCTAACGAAATATATACCTTGGCTTTGTTAGCTTTTTATGACTTTTGCTACTTCTCAAGTAAATTTAAATGCAATATAAATTGTCATCTGTCTCCTTGAATCCCGTCTTTTTATTGTTCTCTCTCATTAATAATGATTCTTTTGCTCTCAGTAACCTCTTGTGTCTTAGTGGCTTTATTGCCTTGCTTAGGGTGAAATGATTTAAAAAACAAAGTTGTATATTTCATCATAAAAGAATGATTCTAGTTTTGATTTGATGAATTCTTTGGACTTTTTTGATATTTTGTTGAAATGTCTGACCTGACAAGGAATGTTTAATGACTTGAAGCAAGTGATAATCTAAAAGTGATACATCTGGAGAATATACTACATGCCAAAGAACTTTGCATCCTATTTTGCTTACTGCACTGCAATGTGAGGACATCTGTTAGGATGCATAAAAAAACTCATTGACTTTGAACAAAAAAAAAAAAAAAAAAAAAAAAAAGTTTTTTTGTCAATGCAATAATAAAATGACCCAGGTCATCATTGTAACCTCTGCAGTAACAATTTATTTCCAAATTCCAGCAACTTATAATGCAGAATCCCTTTTGAATCTCACTAAATACAGAGAAGACCTTTTTTCACAATTATATGATTTTTTTTTATAAGCCACTGTACTTAAATTTGACTAAATCTTAAGCAACTTTACTACTAAAGTCAGAGTGGTTTAATCAACTAAAATGGAAAGAAAAAATGTAGAGTTACTAAATACATTATTTTATACTGTATTCAAGAATTCTACCAATTTGACTAGTTACATTGAAACGTATTTATTTTCTCTAATAAGACTCAAGTATAAAAAATTTAAGCAACTTCATTACTGAATCTTGCATAAAACATAAATCACCCAAATACTGGTCAAAATCCTAAGTTGCTTATAAAAAAAAAAGATTGTGTAGATTCAATTAAGCTTGAGATTTGTGATCAAACCATCCCTGATCTAAACCTGATTTTCTTCATTTTAGATTCTCATATCATCACTTCAAACAGTTTTTTTTGCATGCACAAAGAGAGCTGAGTAAACTTCAAAGACAATAATAAGATTTCTGAAACATTGTGCAAAATATGATGCTGGAAATAATTGCATCAACTTAGGATAATGAAAACCCTTAATTATCCCCTACAATTATTGCAAAAATCAATCTACTTTCATGTATTATGTGCCTGCTTGTTTATCTGCATATTGTGGTCTATGCTGGTCTATAGTATCCACTAGCCTTGTAAAGAGAAAGCATAGCAGAATTGGTCACTACCTCAAGCATAGGGAGAGAAAGTGACTACTTTTTTGTGGAAATTAGTTTTGTTAATGGAAAGGTCACCAGTCAGTAATAGCTAAAATTAGACTGTTGGCTACTGAAAAATTAAGTAGAGAGTATATCCCCATGCTGGGTGTTGCTGTTTGGCTTTCTGTAACAAGTAAGTTTTTGTTTTATAGTGTGGAGTTGCTAGCCCTATTCCTAACTGATTTTGAATTTATAGTTATTTTTCATATAGATTAGTTACTAACCAAAGCTAGAGAGACCAGTCTATCCTGCTAATTCCTAGCTAGGGTAGAGAAGAAATGGATTAATATCTTTCTTAAGGTATTTGTTTGAAAGTGAATACAAAAGTTTCAGCCGGTATTTGAACTCAACATGCCAATTGCACTTTCTGTACTGATAACTGCCATGCTGTAAGTACATCCAAAATTACTATAATACAGTATTTTTTCCCAGTTATTGATAATAGTGAATACAATTGAAATATCTGACGTAGAATGATTTTAAATTTTGTTTGTAATAGGGTAGGTGTGTTTTGGCATGGAAAATGAATTGTCAAGCTGAGTTCAAATTCTGGCCAATTCTCTAATGCTCTTGGCAAAGGTATGAATCTATCTCCCAGCAATGAGTTAAATAGCAGGATACACTTTACTCTCTTGTCCTGGGTGACAGGGCAGTTCTGAATTCAAACCTGCTTAAAGAAACCCTGATAAATATTCATCAGGCTAACTGAAAATTCTAGGTAAATTCTGGAGGATGCTAAGTGACTTTATTTAATGTCTCATAAACAAAAGTGTGTAAATGATGTTTCTGTTGAATTTTTATAATTTAATTAATATTTATATTATTTTAATTTCTGATTAATTTAGCTATTATATATTTTAAATGAAGGGAGATTATGGATTTAACCATTTTCTTTTAATTTTTAAAAATTTTTATAGTCAAGTATGTGGACATAGGAAAAGAGTAATTCTTTCAAGAATGGAGATAACTGAAAAAATCTGGAGTGCAGATTTATATTTTGATAAGGTTTGATAGAGGCACTCTGATAAATATGAGTGTTTCTTAAATTTCAAAATTTTGTAAAAACTAACATATGTTTTACTTTTGTTTATAAATACTTGTTGCAAAATAAAATCCTTACATTTGCCTTGATAAAGTTCATCAGAGGACAAAACATGTTGGCAAAGATAAGTTTTTCTTTTGTCTTTATTCATATTGTCTTTTTAAAGATATATTTTTAGTTATATCCGAAACTTTACACACACACACACATAATGTTGGATTTAATCCATTTCCTAAAAATAAATTGCCTTTGTTTATATTAGGATATGATACAGAACAGATCTGGATGTTTTGAGAATTGTTAGAGAGTGTCTGTTCAAAGGCACTATTCAGGCTTTGTTCAACCATAAGTTATATGTGACCAAGGAGTTAGGCATGTCATATCCAATAACAGTTTCCTATAGGGGATGCAGGTTCAAAACCTGCTGGAGGATGCATATTTTTCTAACTAGATTTCTTGAATATTCAGGCCAGTTGGCTGAAAATACTGTTTAATTAAAAATAGAGCTTCTACTCAAATATGAATATGCATAAAAAATAACCTTTAAACAAAATAAAAATAACACACACACACATATATATATATATATATATATATATATATATATATATATATATATAAAATAAATAATCTGACAACAGCTGAAGAATGGATCAAGTCAGGTGTTGTGGTAAAACATCAAGAACCCACAAGAGTTTGTTAGAAAAAAAAATCAATAAAAGAAATCAATTATCACTTGTACAAAATGATACTAGTTAATAAATGCCTGAAAATGCAATTGATGAATTTATCCATTAGCAGATAAAGTAAAAATAAAATTAAAATAGGCAACAAAAATTGTTGATATCTATGATTGTAATACAAAATACATTTCTTTAAGACCACAATGTGTCTTTTTTTTTCTTTATTCTAATTTAATAAAAACTTCATATTATATCATAAAATATACAAGAATGTGCAAATAGTATAATATATTTTTTAAAAGGCATACAATTTTTGGCATCATCAGCTTGTTAAATATTGATACAAGTGTATTTTATTTAAATGATGGGTTTATTTTTTTGTTTGTATTTCAGATTGATCATCGACTTAATTCAGTGGGCAGAGATTTATCATTCATGGTTCAGCCATCAGATTTTGTGAAACATCTGAGAAAACAACTAAAGAAAATGCATTGTTATGAAGATTATTTGGTTGGCTGAAATCAGCAGCTTTACAAACAGACAATTGCCTACCTAACTTAATAGCAAAAAACTACAAAGACAAAATGAAATACTTTTTTCTTCTCAAAATTGTACAAATTCTCCCCAAATCAAAATTGTCACCAACAATTAAGTTTGATAAAAAAAAAATGCCAAAAAATCCCAAACAAACTAAAAACTTTAAAATTTTTCATTGTAAAATTAATTTTTCTATAAAAAAAAAAAGAAAATCCTAAAAAAAAGAAAACTTTAAGAAAAAGCAACCATGTTTAACTAAAGAAAACCAGTTTTTGGCATCTGTGGATGTTTTGGTATTAAGAAATTTTATATGCTGAAATATCGAATTTGTTGAAAATTTTTACCTGGCTATAAATCAAAATTCTGAATTTTTCAGTTTCACAAATAAGTGAAAGCAATATGTTCATTTATACCCACTTCCTACCCCGGTGTCATTTGAATTTATTTTGGTCAAAATTTATTGATTTCTTTTGTTCTTTCTCTCTCTCTCCATTTTGAAACATCTTTATTGAATAGAAAATATTCTCAATTAAATGCATATCCTAACTAATTTCCCACTATCTTGCTTAAAACTTGAAATGTTTTCAAAAATTAATTTTTCATATAGGTTTTTTTTTTTTTTTTTTTTTCAAATATTTGATGTTTTATTGTAACTTTTATTTTGGGGGTGGGGAGGAATTGTATAAAAAGATCACCTTTGATTAGAAAATGGCATCTTTATTATTTCTGATAGCATTCTTAGGCTTCCTTGTTTTCTAAATAAATATGAAACAATGGCCATACTGGTTAAATTCAGTAAACTTAAAAAAGCATTTTCCAATCTAAGAGCATGATATTCTGATTTGTAGCAATCAGTTTGATGGTAGGATTTTACAGATTCACTGTATCCTGCTATGCATGTAAATATTTTGTTAAGCAAGGCCAAGTTTGGCACAAGGCCACATATATGGAGCATTCATTGAGGAACAAACTTCCTACCAAACTTGCCAAACTAGTCCTATATGCATATGTGAGTTACAAAAACACTTTGCTATACCAAACTCTCTTTACAGGACAAACTGGTTTAAGTTGGAGCATCCCATGCAGTTATTCTTTATAGAAATCCTCTTGTTTAAAATTTTCTCTGTCATCAATTTGACAGTTTCCTGACAAAGTGCCTAATGATTGAGAGTAATAGGAGAAAATCTGCAAGATACAATGGATTCTACCAAGTGACAAAATTAAAATTCTTTCTTGAAGTCCTGAAATGTCAGCTCAGTTTTCTGGTCCATACAATCTGATGCTCATTGTTTGAAGTCATCTACAATGCAATATTCAAAACACAAGTAGTGAAGAAAAATATGTTTTAAGCATTTTGTTTATGTATGGGCTGCAACAAGATTAAACCCAGTCTTCTGGTCTCCAGTTAATCTGCTGTAGACTAAGATGTTCAGTTAAGACCATTTTTTTCATATTTGTATGTTGAAAAACTTCAAATGTTATCAAAAATAATAAAAAAAGATAAAATGAAGAAGCCTTTTAACAATCATTGGTTACAAAAAAATGAATTTTTTCATATTTTTTATTTGGATGTGGGGAAAATGAATCTCTTAATTGCTAAGGATTGAAAAAATATAATAGTGATCTAAATAGTATTAGCATTGTTGTATGACTCAGTGATGGTATTCCAATAAGAAAAGAAAGTGCATATAAACTTCAAATGTTATTTTTAGTGGATATCCTAATTTGAATAAATGTTCTGTTTATTTTAAACAGTATCCACTAAGATTAATGTTTGGAGTAATAAAACTATGAAATATGTTGGATTAAAAAGTTATATATATATATATATATATATATATATATATATATATATATATATATAAGACTGAAACTCTACATTTACTCAAAAATACCAATCAATAGTAAATCTTTTTATATTTTAGTCATAGTAATGTAAAGAAGGTTTCTATTACAAAAGATCAAATCAGTTTTTTTTGTTGTTGTTCTATTTGAGACTAATCCAGCTTCATCTTTGTGTTCTATCAGGTTTAGAATATTCAGTTTAGTAATTCTAGTTAAAATAAAAAGAAGAAAAGGGCATCTAATTGATGAGTTTACACAAAGACTTGTATGTTAACATATTGCTGCACAATTAGATTGGCAAGAGAGCAGTTCTTAAGAGGAGGCATTCTGTTTCCAGTCCCTTTCAGCCTAAACATTAGATGTTTTTGTCTTCTAGTACACAACCAATTTTTCACCTTCCAGCCATGCAAATTACCATATTTGATGATATATAAGACCTTTTTATTTTGCTAAAAATGTTTAAAAAAATATCACCCACGTCTTATATGCGAAGTTAAGATTTACCTATAAATACATTGAAATTTTTTTTCTTGTTGAAATGAGGGTCAAGCGATCTTACAGGCCATCAAATATGGTAACAGTCAGTCTGGTATAACCAAGGTCAGTACTAATTCACTAAAACATCAAAGTTCACTAGTCCATCATCATGGATGGAATATTTTGTTTCCATATTTCAGCCATCTCTTGTGGAGTAGTACTTGTAAGTTATGCTACACACCTCTTAGAAAATGTTACTAAGATTGAATGGAAATAAAACAAGTTAAAAAACTTACAAAACTGAAAGATCAACAGTAACATGGTCATCATCTATAGACTGCCAGTTATAATAATTTTAGGCACTCTCTTGGAATTTTTTCCAGATTAAGAGAGCTGCTTGATTCATGACAGTGATTTTTTGCATTAAAATAACAATATTTGAATATTGGTTTCTTCAGTGGATAACAAATAGTTTTAGGTTTCACTGTCACTATTAGTGTCTCTTTACTGGTTATAAAAAAAAATGCAATATAACATGCTCTAGTTTACAAATACAAAAATCAACAATTTCATGGATTATATTTCTGTTAATATTGAGTGTCTTCATTTTGAGGACATTTGCTATATTAACGGAATAGATGCAACCGGATATATAGCTTCTACTTAATAAGAATATATAACGAGTATGATCATTCATTTTTTTTTTTTAAACAATTTTATACTGTTTGAAAATTGTTAGATATTGTATTGGTTATAATCTATTTAAAATATATTAGAACTGAATTGAAAAGGATAATATTCAATGATGTAAATACTTAGACAAAAATCATTAAAAATTAATATCTGATAATTCATTTATATTTATAATAAAAAGCAATTAAAGGTTTTAATTAATTATAAAAATATGAAAAGAATGTTTCTCGTTGCCAGCTAATGATTAAAATTTATGAAATAAATAATGCTTTTCAAACTTTGCCATTAAACAAAAGTTTAAAACAATATCTTAGAGTAAATAATGGTTGGCTTGACTATAATAATAGACATGTTTTCAAACTTGAAGGCTGATTTATTTGGCGTTTGTTTACATATGTTTGATGTAAAACAAAACTTTCATCAAAATAACTTGCTTTAAAATATTTAATAAACAAACTGGTTTTGGAAAATGGATCATGCATATTATGTCCCTTTAAAAAGAAAACTTAAAAATATCTTACAAATTAAATGTTGTGAGTATGTATGTATGTATGTATATATATATATATATATATATATATATATATATATATATATATATATATATATGTATATATATAAAATAAATGGATAAAAAAATAAAATCAAATGTTTTAAAATGCATTACATAAGGTATTTATTTCACAAAGAATCAATATGAAAGAAAGCTTTATTGGCAATCTTCTAAGAACCACTTAGAGATCTGTGTGTATTTATCTCTTTTCCAAACCAAAGATAATGTATATTTTTTCTTGAGACTGGAAACAAAATATTTTGTTATCACTCATTGTATATGAAATGAAAAATTGTCTTTATCTGTTGTTCTATGAAATTTTGGAACTATAATTATTATTATTTAAGTTTGTTAAACTGAATATGATTGCAAAAATACATTTTATTAGACACGTAAACTTAGATTTTTCACAAGAAAAATATATCTGATTGCAGAAGTTAAAATATTCACTATTAACCCTCTGTATGTGTAGCTCTTTGAACTGTGTAAAGAATATAAAATATGAAAAGTTTATATTTTTGTTGTCTGCAGTAAGAAAGAAAATTTTGCAGAAACATTTTTAGGAAAATTTAAGTAAAAATAAAATTTTGTTTGGGAGTTGGTAAACATAATCAGAAGGTTAATATCTCCCCTTTTTTCTTGTTTGGTTATTCTAATTTAAATCCTATTTCTAAATAATATTCCAAATTTAATTTATATCGACTTTATTATTTACATTTATTACAAATGTAGATAATTTTTATTTTATTACAATGAATTTAAAATATCTTTTTTCTGTAAAGATATTGTTTTCATTACTGAAATAATCTTCTTTTATTGAAAGTATTTAGTGTGTTTAGGCAGAAAAAAAATAGCTTTCCTCTTCCTTGCATATTTTTCTATATGTTTAGTTTATGGTTCCATGAAACTTGTATTTAGTTTGGAATCTTTTCATGTTGTTAGTTTTTGTAATCAATGTATGTTAGAAATGGGGGGGTAAGTGATCCCTTTGCATGATGTCCAAAATGTATTAAGTCAATTTTAGATGATCCATTCAACAAAAACTTGATATTTGGTGGGTACTTGACTGATAGAGAAAGATAAAAAGATTGTATTGGGTATTTCAAGTTATAAGAATGCTGGTGGTTTGATATTTGATAACCAATGACTGACTAGCAGAATTAACAAATTCTGATTTTAATTTTGATGTTACAAGAATGGGAAAGGTTTTATTTTGCTTCATCTGAGAGTCTTGAAGTGACTGATTCAGAAGTAGCAAAATCTTTTACATCAGTAAACTAATACAGGTCTTCCCCTTTGGCATTTTGTAAATGTTGTTTTGTTTTTTTTTTTTTTGTTGTTTTTTGTGAGAGAAAAACTAATAGCAAAGTTCCAATTAAATTTAAGCCCTTTGTTGCCAATTATATTTGCAAAGACCTTTTTTATTAGTTTTAGCTCAGTTCATCAAAAAAAAAAAATAACACAGTGTTATTTTTTTAGATTTTTTTTGTTTAATATCTCAGTCAAATTTGCTGTCTATTTCTTTGTGTGTTACAGATGAAATATCAGACAATGAACAGGCTTTAAAAAAAACGTTTAAATATATTTTAAATTTTTTTATTCTTGTCTATCATATTTATCTCATTTTGATCAAGTGGCATTAATTTTTGCATTTACATAATTTATTTTAATTTGATTTTATTTAATGTATAATCCTTCATCAGTGATACATGCCAACATATAGATGGCAAATAAGTAAGCCACCAATGGGAAGTCGGTAATAAGTCGGTAATCAGACCATAAGTCCAGAATACACTGGACTTGTGTACTATGGCCTGGTTAAAGCATCAAAGTTATTTGATTTTTACCTGATATACAATTTTCAATGGTGCAAATATTACAACTTGATGTAACATTGCTTAAAAAGGCACAGCCTGCTGAAAATATGATT